ACCGCAGACCTCCATGCTGCAACACTCAATATTCAAACGCTTTCCAACAAAAGCAGATAATGCAAAGTCATTAAAATTAACAAATAGTTTTCATTTTTTCAAATTATTAAGTACATAGTAGTGGTTAGATTTTTACAAAATAATGTACTTTCTAAGTATGTCTAATTGAAGTTTCTTGAATGCAGCCTTATTTGATTACAGCTAAATGAATACAGCTTCCAACATGAAAAGATTCCTCACCCCTGACCTAGGAGAATCATTTACATTGTTGTCAATGCGTATGGTGCCTTCTGAAATTGGGCAGTGCCTACTTAGCACAGCTGTACGTAGCAGCCCTGCAACCTTGCCCTGTTCTAGCACCTGGGCTATCTTTTCTCGCTTTTTTTTTTGCCGTTAGTAAAAATGAGATGATTAGATTAGATGTACTCCAAGGTCTAGACCAGCTCAACATTTAGAGTGTTTAGCATGTTTTGTGAATACTCTACCATAAACTGCCCCTTCCAAGTTCATCATCTATAGTTCCTTTCTCCTTTTTTTTTTTTTTAGAGACAAGGTCTCAAGTTCTCGCTCCGTTGCCCAGGCTGGAGGCTGGAGTGCAGTGATACAGTCAGCTCACTGCAGCTGCGAACTCCTGGGCTCCATCCTCAACCTCAGCCTCCCTGGTACCTGGGACAACTTGTGCATGCCACTACACCCTCACCTGTTGTTCTTACCTGCTCAATGTCAACCTCTCCCTTCACTTGACAAATCTGAAATTTCTTTACACCTTCAATTTAAACTTACTCTTATCCAATTCCTGCCCAAATGCCTTCCACTCTCGTTCCTAAAACCTTCCATGCTGTCATTTCTTAAGAACAAACTTGCCTATTGTTCTTAGTCTATTTTCTGTTATTATAACTGAATACCTGAAACTGGGTCATTTATAAGAAAGGAAATTTATTTCTTACAGTTATGGAGGCTGAGAAGTCCAAGACTGAGGGACTGCATCTGGTGAGAACCTCTGTGGAGTCCCAAGGTGGGCATCACATGGGGAGGAGGCTGAGTGTGCTAACTCAGGTCTCTCTTCCTCTTACAAAGCCGCCAGTCCACTCCCAAGATAACCCAGGATGAATCCATTCATGAAGGCAGAGCCCTCATGACCCAGTCGCCTCTTAAAGGCTCCACCTCTCAATACTGCCACATCAGGGACTAAGTTTCAACATGAGTTTTTAGGGGACAAACCTTAGCACCCATAGTCTTTGCTTGTTCGTTAAGGAGCTGTTGCCATGTCAATAAATATAGTTTTGAGGATGGAACAAGCTAGTAGCTCCCTGGGGAGGAAACCATGAGGCAGCTTCCCTCCACTTCCTTTTTGTTTGTGAGTGAACCCAGAACACTTATCTTTACAGCGTTCAATGTTAAAAGTTCTTTTCAGTCCCATCAGCCCGCCTAATAGCTCAGCGTGCCACTGATGGGCATTCTGAGGAAGTGCTGATTCACCTGCATTTCCTAGGAAGCCAGCTCAGTAATGAAAAAGAAAATCTGACAAAGCCCAAGAGCCTTTTGGGGAACCATGAACAATTATTACTTGAGAAAATGAGCCTGGCTCACCGAAAGAGACACAAAGTGCGGTTAAAATTAACTAGGCAAAAATAAGTTATTGAAAACTAGGTAAATTAAAAAGTCGTGCTGCAAGGTCAGCAAAATAAAAACTTTAAAACAAGTTCACAAATACTGATTAGTCCAAACTCCCCCTCTCCATTTCTGCCTAATTATTCCCAGTAGGGTATTCCTAACAATTAAGGGATTAATTGTAGCTGGGATGGCTCCTTAGACAAAGCAAGTTAAGAGTATGATCTTGAAATCCTAGATTCCCACTTAACATATTTAAACTCTATGATCCCATTTTCTTGACTGTATCTCAGTTTTATAAAGATCAGATACATTAGTGTGTGTGTAAAATACCCCTGCACAGTGCCAGGCACAATGTGTTTAGCAAACGGTAGCTCTTACTAGAAAGGGAGCCCTGAACTATAGATTGACTGATATTGATATTTTGGGGCAAGGGAATACTTGTGGGGTACAGAACAGTGGCTACCCTGCCCGTGGGCAGCTGATAAAAGCTTTCACCAGCTAGCTACTAAAATTAAAAAAATGGACAAAATAGTAAATTTTTCATAAAAATAAGATACTTTTCATGTATTGAATTTGAAAGCTGGTGTGCTACAGAAAAAAAATGGGAATAAACCAAAAAAGAGGAAGATGTGGAATCCAGGAAACAAGAGGTCCAACACAGGAAGGTGGCCAAGCAAATTCTAGAGGCAAGAGAAGTGTGTGGGGAGAAAAAGGTAATTAGGGACTCTAGGAAACACCATTTGTATGTGAAGGGAAACGCGATCCCAGCACACGCTCATAATCTGCAGTGAGCAGTATGACATGCTCTCATTCTATCAGTCAGCGTGGCAGCAAGCAGATGGCACCGACAGAAAGCAGTAACCCAGTGCCAGCAGTAACAGAAATAATACCACCCCCAGGCCCAAAAGGGTGAGGAGGAAGGGTTAGGGGAAAGTGAAAGGAGTTGGCTGTCTTGAGGCATAGTGACTTCTGCCTGAAGAACAGTTGGCTTGAAGAGACCCTGCAGGAAGGGCCAAGGGAACAAACACCCTGCCCTCATTCTCCCTCCATCTCCTGCCGCGGATCCCTGTTGGTCAAACTCAGCAGAACCCAGAGGCATGGGAAGCCTGTTGACGCAGTCCGTACAGCTTTCTTGGGCAGAAAAGCAGAATGAAAGGAGCAGAGATTTGGAGGGGACAATGGAAGGCACCTGGCACACTGATGATGCTATAAACACTAATGACAAGCAGAATTTCCAACAGCATATTGGGAGGATGTGTGGGAGAAGTAGAGTGTAAGATAGCTTTATCTCGACCATGACGGTAAGTCAATAATGTCTAAAGTCGATAGCTCAAAAAATTGCCATATAGGCCGGGC